TGAAAAGTGTTTTGCTGTCTTATGGGAACTCTTGGAGGCTATTTATTTTGGTGAGGCGAAACCCAAAAGTATGTCCTTTAGGCAGCAGTTGCAGCACCGAGTGTCCAAGAAACGCCTGCAGATGAAGGAAGCTGATAGGAAGTGGAAAAAACCCTCCCCCATAGTTGTAAACACACATACATATATATGTATACGTGTATATAGGTATATGCCCATGTAGGTATAAGTGTATATACACACATATACACAACTCCAAGCACTGTCCGTCCTGATCTCTCCCCACCCTGATGCCTGCAGCAAGGGAAGGGGCACGTTGCTTTGCTCCGGGGTGCGACCCAGAGGAGATGCGCGTGCAGGGGCCGTACCAGCAGCGCAGTCCCCGCTACACCCACCCATGCACGCACAGCGAGTGTGACCATGTCCTGAGCCACCGTCCCCTGACTGACACCACCAGCCGAGGCTGTGTGCGTGGGGAGAAAGGGGAAGCACGGGAGGTACAGTCATTACATTTATAGTTGTGCCTTCTTTACAACTGGTTTATAAATGGTGACTTTTGCTTCTCCCAAAGGTACAGGACAGTGTCGTCTCCAAAACCGAAGGGCAGGCTCTGCGGCACCAACAGTTTCCACGCAGTAGTTGTCAGCGTGGGCATCCCCAGTTGTGCTCGCCGTAACCTTCCGGCGGCCGCGTGCTGCGGGGGGGGCCCTGCCAGCCTGGTGCAATGACCCGCCACTTGCCAGGACTCGCATCGCGCTCCCCGGGATACTGAGCTGCTGCTCGGGATCCTGACTGCTCCTGATTCTTCACTGTGCTGTTGGCAGTGAGTGATTGATGTCCAGTTTGGGACACTGAGCAGAGCCAAGCCTGTTACCATCCTCTGTGCCCTTGGCGGACCTGGGGACCGGGCTGGACCCCCCACTCTGAGGGGGCTCTGCATGAGCAAGGGACGGGTTTTGGGCTGTCCCTAGTCACTCCGGTGGGAAGAGCTGCCTCCTTCCTCCTCTCTGGTTGGGAACCGGGTCACTGCTGGAAGCCAGGGATGGTGCTGTGTGGACCCACGTCCGGGGCCGGCAGCCTGGTGGCAGAGCACTAGCAGAGCCCAAGCACCGTCACGGGGCTTAGCGCTGCCTGGGGGGCTGCCGGCGTCCCCACAGCGGCTGCGCCCCAGGGATGTAGCTGCCAGGCGCAGGAGGGGTGCCGGGAGCGATGGGCCGGCTGGACGACCACGCCAAGAGGAGGATCGTGGAGCTGCGCAGGGCCGGGCTGAGCTTCCGCAAGATCAAGAAGGTGCTGGAGCTGGATGACATCCGGGTGACGCCGCAGGCCGTGTACCTCTTCCTCAAGCGGAAGAGTGTGGAGCCGGGGTCGGCGGCAGCTGGCTGGGACGGGGACCAGCCCTGGCCCCCGCTGCGGGGGCGTGAGGCTGAGCTGCCCGAGCCAATGGGCGGCCATACCACCGC